GTCCGAGGGTGATCCTGCCCAATCGGCATCTGAGTAACCACAAATTTATGTATTTCCCTGAATTTAATACAAACCTTTTCCTGGTGCTCCTTTGATGTATCGGAGGATCCTCACAGCAGCATCCCAATGTGAATCACAAGAGGAATCAAGGAACTGACTGGCCGTACTGACAACGAAAGAAATATCTGGCCTAGTCACAGTAAGATAGAATTGAGCTTCCCAATCAGCCTTCGATAACGTCCAGGATCAGATAACGGCTCCCCCTGTCTGGGCAATAACTTAACATTAGGATCCATGGGTGTATCAACTGGTTTACACCCCAACATACCAGTCTCCTCTAGGATATCCAAGGCATACTTCCTTTGACAGATAGAAATGCCCTGTCTAGATTGCGCCACCTCAATTCCCAAGAAGTAACGCAGCTTCCCAAGGTCCTTTGTTTGAAATGCACTGAATAAATGTTGTTTTAACTGATGGATTCCGTCTTGATCACTTCCGGTGAGGATGATGTCATCAACATAGACTAACAAATAGATGCACTTGTTAGGAGATGTAATCCTATAGAATACAGAATGGTCAACTTTACTGCGAATTAGGCCAAACGCCTGTACAGCAGAACTGAAGCGACTGAACCATGCTCGAGGAGACTACTTGAGACCATATAAGGATTTTCGAAGACGACATACCTTCCCAGACTCCCCCTGAGCAACAAAACCAGGTGGTTGCTCCATGTAAACTTCTTCTTGTAAATCACCATGAAGAAAGGCATTTTTGATGTCAAGTTGAAGGAGTGGCCAGTGACGAACAGCAGCAAGGGCAAGAAATAGGCGGACGGACGCCATCTTAGCGACTGGAGAGAATGTATCGCTATAATCAAGGCCAAAGATTTGAGTAAAACCCTTGGCAACTAGGCGTGCCTTGAGACGATCAACATGGCCATCAGGTCCAACTTTCACAGTAAACACCCAGCGACAACCAACTATAGACTTCTCTGGAGGAGCAGAAACAAGGTCCCAAGTGCCATTGGTATGAAGTGCGGTCATCTCATCAAGCATCGCTTGGCGCCATCATGGATGGGAAAGTGCTTCACCTGTGGTCTTGGGAATAGAAACAGAAGAAAGACTAGAAACAAAGGTGAAATGAGGAGGAGAAAGGCGATCATAGCTCAAGAAGGTATAAAGAGGATAAGGGTTACGAGTAGTACGTGTACCTTTTCTTTGAGCAATGGGAAGAGCCTCTGGTGAAGGATCCGGAGGGGAAGAATCAACTGCAGAGGGCAATGAGTCAGCAGGGGTCGAGTCGACTGGAGGTATTGTCTTACGACACTGATAAGTGAGAAGTGGACGGTCCTCAGGTACTGGAGCAATAGGTGATTGCTTATCTGGAGTAGAAGCACCTGCATCTGGCAAAGACAAGTCAAGAAAAGGAACAGGAAGAACATGATCAACCTGTGACAATGGAGATGGGATAGAATTAAAGGGTTGTTGATCAAAAAAGGTGACATCCGCGGAAACTAAGTAACACTTGAGGTCAGGAGAGTAACAACGATAACCCTTTTGAAGACGAGAATAACCAAGAAAAATGCATTTAAAGGCTTTGGATGTTAACTTATCCTTACCAGGAGTGAGATCATGAACAAAACAGGTACAACCAAAAACATGTGGGGATAGAGGAAAGAGAGGAACATCTGGAAACAATAAGTTATGAGGAATATCATTATTAAGCACAGATGAAGGCATGCGGTTGATGAGAAAGCAAGAAGCAAGGACTGCATCAGCCCAAAAGTGAAGAGGAACATGCATGTGAATAAGAAGAGTCCTGGCAATCTCAATGAGATGTCTATTCTTACGTTCAGCTACTCCATTTTGTTGTGGAGTGTGAGGACAAGTGGTTTGGTGTAAAGTACCCTGTGTGGCTAAGAAATGAGAAAAGTCAACAGAAACATACTCTTAGCATTATCACTACGTAAAATACGAATAGAAGCACCAAATTGAGTATGAATTTCAGCAGAAAACTTTTGATAAATAGAAAACAACTCAGAACGGTTTTTCATTAAATAAATCCAAGTACAACGGGAGAAATCATCAATAAAGGTGACAAAATACCGAAAACCTAAAATAGACACACTACGACTAGGACCCCAAACATCTGAATGAATAATTGAAAAAGGAGCATCAGCTCGTTTATTGACTCGATTAGCAAAGGAGGAGCGTATGTGCTTTCCTTGCTGACATGACTGACAATCTAAAGTTTGAAGACCGGATAAAAGAGGAACCATCTTCTGCAATTTCGCAAGACTAGGATGCCCGAGACGACTGTGGATGAGCTGAGGAGATTCTGTGAGAGAACAAGCAACTGAAGGACTCGGCACATCAAGGTAGAACAGACCCCGTGACTCACGGCCCACTCCAATCATCTTCCCCGTACCCGGGTCCTGCACAGAAATAGAATGGTTTGAGAATGTGACAATACAATTAAGAGAATTGATCAATTTACTAACCGATATTAAATTATAAGGGATGTGAGGAATGTAATAGACAGATGTCAAGGTCAATGAGGAGGTTGGACAGATTTGTCCAATCTCATGAACGGGCCTTAGTTCCATCAGCAAGAGTAAAAGAGGGTAAATTATTAGAATATGTAAGGGAAGAAAAGAGTTCCTTATTACCACAGAGGTGATCAGTAGCACCTGAGTCAAATATCCAAGGACCAAGTGATGCAGAATGAGAAACACAAGCAACAGGATTACCAGTTTCTGAAGCAGAGGCCTGAGATTGAGGAGAGGACTTCCTGAGAAGGGCCTGGAATGCTGCATATTCTTCAGAGGAGAGAGAGACTGAACCATTTGAAGCAGTATCCGATTGAGCTACATTAGCAGCAAAAGAAGGTCGCATGTGAGGATACTTTGTGTAGCAGCATTCCTCATAATGACCAAGTTGCTGACAGTAATGACAACGAGGTCGCTGACCACGTCCGACTGGACCTCCTGGGCCACGACCTCCTGGGCTACGTCCTCCTGGGCCCCGGCCTCCTGGGCCTCTACCACGACCACGTCCACCTCCAATATGCCCGCGAAAATCAGTACGGGAAACTAGAGCAGTAGAATCAACAGCAGAAGACGATGCAGGAGCAGATTTCTTATTCAAATTCAGAAGACGCTGATACGTCATGGATAGATCAGGCTCCCCACTAGTCAAGATAGTATCACGAACATTATCATATTCTTCGGGAAGGCCAGAAAGTGTGGCAACCATAAAGAGACGTTCCACCTGTTTCCGATATGCAGTAGCATCAGTAGGGTAAGGCAGCATATCCAAATATGCCTGCATCAAAGAGCGACTCTTGCCAATATATGTCTCCATCTGAATGTCGGATAATTTGCTCAATTCCATAAACTGAGAGATGATGAAATCGAGCTGCTGAACATCATTAGTGTAGAGGTTTTTTGCTTCCTCCCACACTTCAGTGCAAGTTTGAAATGAATAAAAGATATCCAAGACAATCAGATCAATGGATTGCCAGAGGATACTCAGAAGCTGGTTGTCAATCTTTTCCCAATCAGACTTGTCCTCCTTAGGGACATCAGTAGACTTAGTTGTGAGATGGTTCCCATATCCTTGTCCAAAGAACCAAACTCGAACAGAGGTGGCCCAGTTCTTGTAATTAACAGATCCCTTCAATTTTGAAGAGGTAATGGACCCAATATTGGTAGAGATGATATTGGGAGAATTTTTCACAGGAGGAGATGGAGACTTGACCTCCGAATGAATTGGAGGGTTTGCTGCCATAGTATCAAATCACAAAGATACAAACCGAATAAAGAGAAACGAACCGGATCACCAATCAAGAAGAGGTGCGCACAAAAAGTCAGACCCACAAAGAACCAACCACAGATCCAGAAAGAGGAGGAGAAGACGAGCTTCTCTGTCCAAGACCGGCCGGAAAAAGCCGCCGGAATAGTGCTCACGCGCCGGCAGAAGGTGGCGCGTGAAGCCCACGCGCAGAAGAAGACTGGAGGCGCGTGAGAGCGCGTGACAACTCCGATGGTGGCCGGACTTCCACAGAGCAGGTCGCCGGGAGGAGAGGGTTCTGTTCGCGTTCGTTCCAGACTGAAAACTCGCCGAAAAGTACTCCGGCAGCCTGAACAGTGGCTGACGGTGGCTGATGGTGCTCCGGTGACTGTTTGGGGATGTGGACACGTGCAGAAGATGCCTGGAGAGGACTTACAGCCCTTGATGTCTTACCGGAAGGACGCACGACAAAGAAAAGATGACTCCTAAGCAGTGGGCTTAGGTTTTAAAGCGAAGAACAAGATTTCTAAGCGGAAGCGAGGGTTCCCAGAACGAAATAGCTCTGGTACCAACTTAAATGTAAAAGAATACGTTCTATATTGATCTGTGTCAGGGAGTTACAATATATAGAGACCCTAATGGGCTTAAGTGTAAGGCCCAAACCTAATCCAAACCTAATCCTAATACAGTCAGAATACCGTCAGACTATTTACGGATAAGACAGAATCCAATCATATCTAATCAAATCTAATCATATCATATCTAATATTCTAACAACAATCAATAACATAGTTGAAAATTAATTTTACAGAATAGGAAACTCTGCAATGGGACTATATAAATACTACAGTGAGCTACATCAAGCAGTAGTTCTGCATGATTGAAAAGTGTCATTTTCAGCAAAGAATGAAGTAGCAAACCTCCTCATGGCTATAATAGCCGAACATACAGTTAGTTCGGCTCAATTCCCACTTCTGAACAGTTCCTTTATATCCTTGACCAATTCCTGCAGTGAAAACAGTACATTCATCTTGATGAACAGCCAGAGACCTTACTGCTCCATGATGTGCACGTATAGAGTATATAACAGAAGCTCTTATCTTCCATGGAAGGTCGTCTTTCTGAACCCCCACCCGCCCAAGAAATTCAGGCCCATCCCAGATGGTGGCTGGACTAGGGAACCAAAACCAGGGTTCATGGTTCATTTGGTATGACCTTCCTTCGTGCATTACTACTGAATTTTGATGAACTTTAAATGGTCGTCTCTGAGGGATCAAATTTTTGGCACTTCTACTTCCTTGGGATTGTGGAATTGACCATCCAACCCCATTAAGCAACAACTTTGCTGGATTGTATTCTGATGTGAAGCCCTGGGTCATAGGTCTTCTACCAATAATATTTTCTGAACCATTTTTTGATGATTCTCCTGCATATTCCCACTGAGCCACAATGGGTAGAAATAAGCTAACAAGAAAGATGTACATGAGGCTATGTGACAGAAGAAAAAGAAGTAATGCAGCATACCTTCCAATTATGATTGCGTAGAAGAAATTGTTCAAGAAGCAACCATGTAGCACAACATTGACGAAGTTTCTCTATCCCAAGCAGAGATGCAAAGGAAGGATAAAGAACCAGCCTGCACATTACCCACGAGATTTTATACATACTAGAAATAAAGGAAGAAAATAAGGCAATTAAAACAGACATATTATATAAAAGAAACTCGAAAGTGGGCCTAGGATGATACAACCTATTTACAGTGGGGAATGAATTGCACTTTGATGACACATGGACTTATCGGTGCGAATGCACTTTCCCCTGATTTTACAAAATTAAGCATATATCCACCTGATTTTAAGACTTTTTACAATACCCGACCTAATGTCCAAAATCAAAAATTAAACCTCACGGTCTCAGGTGAATGCAGAGTATGTGACTTTTTGGATTAAAAGAAGACCTGACTGCGCCAAATATGACGAGTTTGTGTCTCCTAGGCTGAGCTCAAATGATGATTGAAGGGGATTAATTGACCTTTCAAGTCATTTTTCCATCTATTAGTCATGTGCTTCTCTCATGTCGAATTATGAGATAACCTGAGTAAACCCCTTATTATGATGACAGGTGGGACAGTACAAAATGTAATATTAAATTGGGTAGAAATGTGTATAACTTTTGTAAATCAGGATGTAAACTGTAATAAAGCCAAATAACCAGGGTAGCATAGTTAAATTGATGCTTATAGTGGGTGTATATATACACAAGGATATTTTAGAAATAAGCTCAAGCGATCTATTATTATCTATTTTGTTTAGTTAAGCAGATTAATTAAACAATCCATTTTTTTATTTGGTGTTATAAATATGGATTTTGTTTATTCATTATTAGTATTAACAGATAGAGAAAAACCCAAAGGAGAAGGATGGAGTTCATGTCATGTTCAGACACTGCTCTCAATTTTATCAAGAGAGCTTGTTCTACAAGCTTCTACAACTGTACAAAATAATATAATTAAAGCAATAAGACTAACGGAAACATCCCCATATATCTAACAATTAGAACCGCCTAACCACAGATATTGTCTTTGTCTATTTGATCTAGGATTTGTCGGAAGGAAATCTTCCTATCATATGCAGGATTATATTGCCTTTCACTATAAAAGGGGGTTTAGTACAATTTATTTTTAGATTTGATATAAACAACTAATATGACTCAAAAAAACTTTCATTCCTGTTTAGTCTTGCATGATTTCCTTCTTGGGCACCATTCTCTCCTCTCATCTAACCACAGTTCTAGTTTTGCACTAGATAGCCAAGAGAGGAAGCAATTTTTCCCAGAATAAAACCTAGTCTAGAAAGCAGATTTGACACTCACACTAGATCCATACGACTTTCAATTTGCAAGTGCCCACCAATTCTTAATTTGTCAACCTTCAAGTTTCTGCCAACAGTAGTCGAACCTTTAGAAATTTCCTGGGAGAAAGCAAGCTCATCAAATAGTTCTTTAAGTTTTGGAAGAATATGCAATGCAGTCAAATCTGCCCCAATCCGCTGACAAATTCCAAAGAGAGTAGTAGCAGCAACCTGACAAACAGAATGCAACCAGCATTATTTAAACAATTTAAGGGATTAGTTAATGGATATGGCAATGAAATGGAGTAAAACATCACCACACTATCAGGATACAAGCTAAATAAAAGGCAGGAACAAGCTCACTAAAGAGTTTGAAATATAACTTTGTGAATTGCACACAAACAATTTAGAAGGAGTGCCAAAGACTGTTTAATGTGCAATGCTCGTTTTCAATACCCCTGAGTCAAGGAACAAACCTCAATCATCCACACCATATCTCTTCATTTTTATCTTTCCAATTAAAACAAGGCATAAAAAAATCCAAATATAATAACGTTTAACTGAATAATTCCTTGGTAACTTACAATCGACAGTATAAAAAAGTAAAAAGTCTTAGGTAAGGTATGGGTAAAGCTAAGATGCCAATTAGAGCCAATGGAACCAAGGAATGGGTGATGGATCCAAAACAAACCAATGGATAATTTGAAGAACCTGAAGCACTGCAATTTCCATCTGTTTCTGCATAAGAACCCCAATGTGCATACTACTAAGGTCCTGTGTATTTAAAACACAGTCAACAATTAATTGTTATAAATATTTACTGGCGATTAAAGCATTTTGAAGCCTAAAAAAAAGAAAAAGAACCATACTTCAAGCAGCTCCTTTACAATGACCTCTTCTGTCAAGAACGCTACAAGACCATCTAAAGTCATCATACAATCAATAAGTGCTAAAGCACTCCAACTCTGGACAGGATCAGGCTTATTCATGCATGATACATCAATGAAGGAACGGAAAACATTTTTCAGTAGTGGTAGCATCTGTTTGACGATAAAAGATTCCCCAAAAATGCCACCTGAGAAGTTAAAAAATGGAAGGAGATTACAAACTGAGGGTCTCAGTAATGAAAAGATGGAAAAATATGAAAGCAAAGAAACTAAGAATACCAATTCTGACCAGCACATCAATGCCATCAGCACATAGTCCTTTCCCAAAGCAATGAACAAGAGGCAAAATTGTCTGATTGAAGAATGAAAGGTTAGTAAAACAATGATGATTGCACATAAGTGGGAATGCACATGTAGACAAAGGAAAACATAGTACTGAAGATTGTTGAAAAACTAAAAAACCTGATGGATGGTAATAGGTACACCAATCTCCTCACTAGAACCAATTAGAAGCACCGAAGCAGAGGCAGCTGAACTTTTATCTGGAGAAATATACAAGTTTGACAAGACCAATGGGTGAATAGTTTCCAGGTATGCTTGTTTACCAACTTGATTCCATATTTCACGCACAAATGAATCTTGTAAAAGGGAAACCTTTAAATGTAAATAACCCGTGGTCTGTAAAAAAATGTCTAAATAAGAAGTCACATGAAATAAACCAAAAAGGAAGAAAGAAATGAAAAGATCTACAGACAGAACAAAATTCACAAAAACAAGTTTGCAACTAGCCTGCAAAATTTTCTGTATGGCTGGCAAGATCAATGTTTTGACTGCTTGTGTTGTTAAGCATTTCATGAATTCTTTCAGTAGTATATAAGCCCATTCAGCTTCAATATCATTAACAGAATTCAATACAAGAGGTAAGCAATAAGTGGCGCATATTTCAGCTGCAAATGTGCCCATTTCCCTGAGAGCTCCCTGATTTGCAAGATTTGCAGCATAACGAAGACGGGTTTCATGTTTAGCTACAAGCTGGAGTGGAGCAAGAAACAAGTAGGAGGACTTGACTATCTTTGAAAAATAAGGTGATTCCAGAAGAATTTTGGCTGATGGCCTCCTATATAGCAAAAATAAATACTTCAATAACATGATAGGAAAAACAACCCAAAAAAATCATACCTAAAAAAGCCAAATTCATGTATTCAATTGTACTTGTACATGCACGCAAACATATTGATACCTCATCCAATCCTTTTGGATGCATGCTTCAACAAGTAATCTAACATGAGGAGGTAGTTCCTGCAGAAATCCTGGCAAGGTTCCATCCTCCAAGTATATTGCCAATGAGATTGAATCAAAGAGTGGCCTGCATAGATGAAGTTCAGCTAAGAGACAACCAACAGAAAATATGTCCTTAGCAACATCTTCAGAGCCAAGTCTTGAAGAAGATAATTTCTGCCTCCAAAGTAGCAAGTCTGGATATCCTGAGAACCCTTCATCTTCCTCTTTCATTTGTTGAAGAAAAGAAATTAGATTCATTTTATATGGCACCCGGTAATTTCTGTCAATCAAAGATAGTTTGCTTATACTTCTAGTAAATGTCTCTGTTGTTGGATCTCCCGACGATGAGATGTTCCTCTCTGTTTGATTTAAGGGATTATGGTAACAAGCATTCAAATGCCTAGCATGTTCAGCAAATGCAGATGCTTGTTCTAGTTCTTGTAGATAAGCAGTTTCAGATAGAAGAGATGTCTCTCGCTGCATTTCATTTGTTTGGCTCCAAACTTTGGTATATTTATTAGTACCATTACGAGTTATTCTAGATGTGGCATACCGAATGGGGTGTGGTCGCGTAAAGAGCTGACGACGTCCAGTTGATCTTGGCATCATGGGTTCTGAAAGAGGAAGCATAACATTCTTAGCAGCAATAGCTGCCTGGCCAGACATTTTGTACCCAAAGGTTATGTCTATCCAATGATGGAGTTGAAATGACACCCTATTACTTTCTAATGCATCGCGATGCAATTTAATGAAATCCTCAGGACTCTCTGCCCAAGAAGGTACAGCTAAATCAGCCATACCATCATGTATTGACCTAAAAATTTGGGCATCACAGTAAAACTCCGGAATGCATTCATCGGGGGTCCATTGATAGAGCCTCTGCATTGTGGAAGGATATTCATTAGGTTCATACACTGAACGAACAGCCATTCGGAGAACACTCAAAGGCAGCCTTCTTGCTTTATAACTGCAGACAGCCAATTCAGACAGACATTCATCTGACACATGATGAGGGATTTCGGATGTTGAATAGGTGAAATCCAACTGTTCATCACCTTTAGCCAAGCGCCATTTGCTCTTGCTCAAGTCTCGCCACCCTGCATCACAGTTATCATCAGGTTTTGAGCTAAAATTAATTACCCAAGGCATTACTGGATGAAATGTATGGTCCCCCCACCTTCTTCCAGCTAATCTGTTTAAGATGAGTAAATACTCAAAATTACTTAGTTCTCCTCTCCACCATTGATGGAAGCTAGAATGCCAATCTATTGATGGCGAGAGCTTTAGATCAGCATAAAGGCCATTAGAACGACACCCACCATTAGAACAACCAATTTTTGCAGGTTTAGAATTAATGCTTTCACTCTTTTGCAAAGTTAAATTAGATTCCAATGCTGGTTCATTCCATAATCTCAGCCAAGACCATAACGAGTCAGTCACCATGATATTGGATGGGCATATATTACCGTGGGAAAGCCCTAAACCATGTAAGTACAATAAGGCCGAGAGTAGCTGATATATAAGAAATCTTCTGTTCCAATCAGACTTTAAGGCATTGGGGTTAAAATGAAGAATACTTTCCAAGTTGTATGGAGTCTTTGGAAGCACCATGTTAATGTGATCAGATGTTTTAAAAATTGCAAGGACAGGAGCTACGTTTGGATGCCTCAAAGTGCCTGGAAAAGTATCTTCCTTAAATGATGGCAACCCGAGTAAACTAAGGAAATTTATACTGTCCCTTCCAGATGCTTTCCCTTCAATGAAGAGATCGAGTGAATCTAACACATGATCTTCAATTAATCCAGACGAGAAATCAGTGGCGACCTCTTGAAATGTAGAATAGGAAGACATTCCCACACGAGCAATCGGGGCAAGTGAAGTGATTGTCCTCGAGCAAGAAAACCTTCCTGAATGATTACAAGAAGCATTTCTGGTTTCACCATTAACCACATTATTACATTGACTGCCTCCAATATCAGCATCATTACTTCTAGTGCTTTCACTGCTATCCAAAATATATTCATTTCTGCAAAAACAGAACAAGAGTTTATTGCTTCTAACACACCATTTATTTCACAACAACAAACCCAACCAAGAACTAAAAAATCAGTAACTTATTTTATGCCAAAAATGAACAAGCACAAACAGACCACGTCAAAACATCTCTCGAAGTAATTCACAAAACCATCATTAAAAAAAGAAAAGAAGATAATTCACAAAATAAAATAAAATAAAAGATGATGAAGGACATGAATCTTACACATAATTGGTAAAACAATTCTTCTCATGACTAGGCATGTACTGCAATATAAATTGACCATCCGAAGTTTCACCACCTGCTGTACCAGAAATCTACTTTCCAATAACCAATAAAATATAATTAAAAAGATAGATACAGAAAAAAAAAAAAATTGATTCGAAAATTCAGAGAGAGAGAGAGAGAGAGACATGGACGATAGCTGACGATCCGAAAGGAAAAGCAGAGGTGGAGTTGGCATAATTGAAGACGAATTGATCAGAGAAATCCGAGTTGATTCGAAGTTGAAGACACTCGAAGCACTCACTCTTTTCCTCCATCGCATCGCTCTCCACTGAGTCAACTCAACGATTTCTCATGCTCTCTGCTTCTTCTCCACCCACCAACACTGCACCCTCTCCTCTCTCGAGCATAAATATAAAGGCTAATTCGGTAATTTTACTGTGCAGCAGTTACTTAAACGCGCCGTTTGCATTTCACCGTTAGCATCACATTATAAGTTGATTAATTTTATTATAATTTTATGGAATTTGCATTCATTATTTAATACGATCACAAAATTTTTTTTACACACACAATATTTTGTGAGACCCACATGTTTTGAAGGAAAAACAAAAAAAACTACGGGACACAAAACGAATCTCTATAACATAACACAATCATTTTTCCTACAAGATAACTCTTATAAAACTCTAATTTTATAAGGATAGAATATTTTACGTCTAACTACTTTTTTTCCATGTTTACTTTACTTATTAATTTTTACTTTTTTCTCTCTAAATTCTAATTTAATGAGGTTGAAGATGAATAATTAAAGTAGGCATAAAAAAATAGACATAATATCTTATCTCAATTTTATATATATAAAAAAAGTGATGATAAAAATTTGTCTAACAATGATATATTTGTTGTTGAGATTATAAATTTAATCAGATATCTGGCTCTACACTCATTTTCAAAAATATATCTGAAGCTTGTGGATCTTTTTAGAAAAATTTAAACTAAATTGCACCTACCAGTCTTGCCGAGCTTAAACCAATTAGATTATGGCTAGTTTCCACCAAGTTACTTACCTTTTCTTAAAAATGCATTGGATTTTCAGCGCGGTACCCATATATTTCAAGTAATAGAATCTCGGATTTGGCTGGTGAGGAATTCACTTAATAATAATAAAAGGCTCAATTATTTAAAAGAAAATTAAGAGAACAAATTTCACCAAAATTTATAATTTATTATACATGTGTATATATTTGTTATAATATCAATCGTTAATTTTGTCATAAGAAATTGAGATCCCTTTCATTTTAGGGAGCCAAATCTTAGAAGAACATATCAAAGCAAGCAATATGAGACCACATATCTTATATTGCTTGAGAGATACAATATATCATAAAGTATAGGATTACGATTTCTCAAACGCAGTAGTATTTCTCCCAAATGGTTTAATTTCTGTCAATCCACTGAAATTCAAACTAAGGAATTTTAAAATCTTGCTGGGCACCAAAATACAAGTCATGTCTCTGTTGGAAAGAGATAAAAAGTGTTCACCAAAGGATTACATTGTTTCACAAAGAAAACATGTGTAAACCTAACCCCCCTGCAGCTAAAGATGGAAACCATAATGCCAATGAGGAGACTCAAACACGGTTATATGCCACTGACTTGCCGAATAGGCGCCTGATGTATAAGACTTGCAGTGCACTAACAGCAGCCAAGAGAATGTACTCTCCTACAGTATAGAATATAACACGCTTACGTGTGCTCTCGTTCGCTACAAACAAAAAGGGAGTTGAGTCAGAACAAGGTAGCTGCTGCTGTGTTCAGATTATTTTCAAAATATGAAACTATATACTAAAGATATAATGTTCCTATCCATTTCGTTATAAGAGCTGAAACCAAGAGGAGAACTCATTCCTGAAGGAAGTGATGTTAGCTATCACAGAAGCCTCCCATGACAACTTGTTACTAAAACTGAACAACACTAATCTCAAAATAGATTAAAGATCCTAATGTCTGGGAATCATCCCTATTATGAAGAGGAAAAATTACAAATGTGTCCATAAATTCTATGAATGCATACTTGATTGCAAGAATAATATCACTACTACAACGACCTAAAATCCCCAAGCAGAACAGTGCCAGTTCATGGAAGAGAAAAATACTTACTATGACGATGCCTTGTATCACGAGCTTTCAAGTACTTTTGTTCAGATGTAACAGACTCTAGTGCCTCTCTGAGCTCAGCAATTTTAACATTAATTGGGTCCAAATGCTCTGCAAACCATCAAAATTGAAGTTAAACCCCAAAACTGAAAAATAGAACAAAAAAGGAACACTTGGATTATTCTTCACAAACGTCGAGATGTACCTCAGGTAAATAGTAAATGACTGTACTGTTTAGTACCTAAACATATAAATAAGATAATAGGATAGTAGAATCTACTAAGAAAACCTCTTACACAGAGAACATACCATCTTTGGCAAGGTCATGCTCAGAGGGAATATGACCAACATGGATGTAGAAAGAAACAGTCTCAGGTGTTGAGTATGGGTTATGAAAACAAAATTTATACATTCCATGTGTTGGGGCTTTAAATTCAAACTTGTCCCCAGAGGTTCCCTTGATATTGTTCACAGTATTACCTCCAGGAGATGTCACCTGCGGATAACCGCAAAATTAGAATATCTGAAAAGCTAAAGTTACAAAAACAATATGCAATTTTGGGCAGGTCATACTGCCAGCTAATGACTGCTCAGCCACAATGGATTCATACAAATCAGTAACCAAAGACTGCTTCCAATGTACTTCCTAAGATACTTGTTAGCACACATCATTCTTACACAGAAACCCTCTTATGTTTCCTAATTGATTAAAAATCAACTCCTAATTGATTACAAATTCAAATCAGGAAACATAAGAGTACTCAAGGTTGCCAACGTGTATCCCACAGCTTATAAAGATATAGCGACACCTCCAGGTCTCAAGCTGCATCCCACAGTCAATAAAATCATAAAATACTGAAGAATAAATCTAACTAGGTGCAGAAAATAAAGGCCATCCATTCAAATATCGGCATTAACCAGATGGAAATAACAGAAAAAAAAGTACATGAATTCCTTAAGTTATTTTTTCTTCCTATTCCTTCCTTCGACATTCATCAGCCATCACTTTTTCCACCATGCAGTTTCCAACTGACTTTGTAACAAATCTTTCAACCTCTCTCCTTTTGAAAGAACATGGAGAATGATTTCCAAATATCAGTTAACATCCGTGCAAAAAAGGTATTGATATTCAAGGACTCAAGGGTGATCATTCATCATTGGAGGCTTGGTATATATAGAGAAATTTCATTAGAGGCTTCCAACTTATCTTGGTAGTAGCCATAAATTGCTTTCTGAAGCTTAACCAAATTCATTACTTTTAGTATTACTTTTAGTTAAAATGGCAATTCCTTTTGTGTTTCGTTTGCTTATAGCAGTAAAAGAACTCCCTTTGTCACCTGTACTTCAAATATGTATATATGATGGTATACAGATCATAATTCATCTTCATTACAAATATAGCAAAATTGCTCTTAAAAACCCAAAAATTGCTAAAGATCACTCAATTGAGAAGTGCCCATTACAACTATGTCAACTCTTCCTGTGGAGAACCCAAGATTTAACCCCCTCACAAAATAAATAAATAAATAATAAAAATATAAGATATTGAGATACCCAATAGAAGCAAATAAATAAATAAATAAAATTCCCCTCAGCAAAAAAAATACCAGCAATTAGCAATTGTGTAAGACAATTATTAGATCAGAAAGGCACCCCAAAAAACGAAAACGAAACCGGCGAACTGATCACAGGGAATTGAGGTTACACTCACCGTGAAATCGATGCCAGGGTGATCGGAGTTCCAGAAAATGTCATGGTCGACGACAACAAAGTTTCCTGAAACGGTGTCACCTTCGTAGAGCACATACTCGTAGACACACTCGACATCGTTCACCGTCACGGATAGAGATTCAATACGACTGAAGAAGCTAAGCATCAAGCACATCAAAATCATCCACATCTCCGCGCTTCTCTTTCTCTGCTCCATCATTTTTCTTTTTTGGGGTTTTTATTTTTTTCACTTTCGAGGATTCTGAACTGAAAATTAAGAGAATTATGGTTCTGGGCAAGTGAGAGATGCCTCCCAGATCCTAAAAACTGAAACCTTTGAAGAATTTTGTTCCCTTTCTCGTCTCTGCAAGCGCAACGCAACAAAACGACAACACTCCTGCCCTATTACGTGTGAACGCAAAAAAAAAATACAACGTGCACCAGCCAATCAGAGATCAAGTCCTGTGCTGAGTTGGACATAATCAAATAATATGTAATATAATCAATTTGAAAGTATTTTAGTTTGATATTGACGCAACGCAAGAATAGGGTAAAACTTTTTTGATATTAAAAGTTAATATTCCATTTAATTAGTTTAAATATGTGTTAAATTTACCAAATAATATAACAATAAATTATTAATATTTTTTAATTTTAACAATATATTAAAATTAATTTTTTAATTTATCAATAAAAGATTATTTTAAAAATCTTGTTGGGGGTTCATTTATATAAAATAACTATTAAAAAATTGACTAGGACCAAAATACAAAATGAATGAAAGGGTGTTGTTCCGGATGGCCCGCATCTAGGCGGCCCAATAATTCAAGCCCAAGCCTCTTTATCACCTTCACGTCAGCCCTGCTGACCAGTCACTATCAACCCTCCTTCCATCTTGTTCCCTAGGCGACAATACCCCCAAGGTGAGACACCAAAATATCTCACCTTGGGATGTCAACCCTGCTGGAGATCGCCCCAGATACCATAAATAGTAACCCCCTCCTATAGAGATAATATCAGCAACTGCCACCTCCAATGCAGGGACTGCACCACTGCTACCGCAACAGTGTTAGCCATCCCTAGCATCCCCCGAGGAGGGTTGACATCCATCACTTACCCACACCAAGCAGATACCTCACCCTCTTATAAATACCCCCCTCAAGACCAGAGAGGGACATCTTATGTATCGTTAACCTGTCAGTTTACAAGCCTATAAGTCTCACACACACACCCCTCTTTCTGATAGCAATATTCATACTTGGGACAGTGTTGTCTAGCTTGGTCTTTACCTGTGCTAGTGGTATAACTTATACAGTGACCTTCATCCCCCAAAGGGAACATATTGAGCTTGTATATCCCAACGGTACAGGTGTGTTGCCCAACACGTAGAAATTGGATTTGGGTAAACCAACATTACTACTGGTAAACTAGAGTCTTGTGCACTTTTTAATACGTATCAATCGTTTTTAAGATTATAAAAAAGGAAAATTGTGAAAATTTTTATAAATAATATTGATTGTTGGCTGTCCATGACCATTGAATGTTCTGTAACCATTGGATAAGTAATTGTGGTCTTTATTATATTGTAACCGTCCTTGTCTTGTGAATATGTAAATAGAGGCATCAAAGGGTACCCAATGGGTGCAGCTCAGTTGGTAACTTAGCGCTGAGTTAGTGGGGTTGGATATGTGTTCGATTCCCGCTGAATGCATTCTTGGGGAGGGGGCTGAACCTTTAGCCATCACTGTTCCCCCGCACTCCGGATTAGTCTCATAGCCGGCTCAAAGAGTCGAAGCTCGTGGGGATACCGGAGGGAGCCAACTCGTCTCAAAGAGATAATTAGGGTTGGGTAACTCCAAAAAAAAAAAGAGGCATCAAAGGGCATGATAAGACAATAAGAATAGATTTTCCCTTATCTTTCTTATCTCCATATTTTCTCCCAATTATCTATGTAACATCCTCTACAATTGACTAGGATAGAGAATATCACATTAATTCTTAAATCTTATTTTAAATAAGATAACGAGAATTATAATGAAATTCTAATGCAACGAATGTGAAATAAGACATATGACAAAATAAATATTCATAAAATCCAATTACACAGAAGTCAAGTTCACTATTACATCATAATGACATCATAATATAAACTGAAAAGAAACATTTTTTTTCTATTAATTGCTCCACTAAGCTCCGTATAGTCTTCAAAGTCTTTAACCATAGTGCTTTACCATACTCCAAAGCTACACATATTGGCCTGTTTACTTTGAAAATGTTAGCACGTGAGATAAACTCAGTAATATTGAGATTTTTGAACTATAACCAATCCAGCTACTTTAGTGAAAAATATCATTCTCACAGAATAAAATTTATAATAAGAAAATAATATCATAAACAATAAATATAAGCCCAGACCTTTGTGGGTTCTTCATTCAACCATACCTAAACTTTTGTGGGTTCTAGATAGATATACAGGAACGTGTAATATTTAACTGAAATGACTAATGCTCAATTCTGGAGCATCCAAATTCTGTGGATTCTGTATGTGAAAGGTTCTGTATGGTGGAGCTGAAACCATGATAAGACGTCCCTTACCCTATAACTATTATGATTCCCTTGTGGGTGAGTCACATCAGAATCATTCAGTAAAAGATTACATATTCCATTAGTATTCATTTGGCACCAAAGAAATTCTTCAATTTCTATAAACTTGATTCAAGATCATTCTTATATCTAATATAAGTAAATTTATCAAATTCACAAAGCCAAATATAGAAAATAAATTAAAAGAGTAGAAAGAATTCATAAAATAATTTTGGCAGAGTAATGACATCTTCACAACATTTAAATAAAATACCAACTTTCAACATGACATAGACAAAAACATAACCAACATAGCTTTCTAAAATATCTAAAATTAAACTTTAAAAATAAAAGAGAAAATGAGTTGTTTACTTCCAATATTACCTTCCCTTTTTTTTTTCTTTCTCTCTCTTCTTCTTCTAAAGTTTCAAAAGGAGGGGGGCTTTATATTGATTTTCAAATAGGAATGTAATAATAACTTATTATAAAAATCTAAGGAATCTAATCATTACCTTTATAAATATCTGAATCTTAATCATTTCATTTATAAAAATCTAAGGAATCTGATCATTATTTTTATAAATATATAAGAAATCTTAATAATTACGTTTATAAAATTTAAGGAATCTAATCATTACTTTTATAAATATCTAAGATATTTTACTAAATATCTAAGATTTTTTTTCTAAATATCTAAGATATTTTATATTTTACTTATTATTATTCTTATTTTGAAATATTACATTTCTCCTATCTTAATTAAAATTTTATCCTCAAAATTTAGACATACCTTCTAAAATATATTTCAGAAAAAAATTTAATTACCTAAAATCCACCACGCTTCCGTTGCGACATATCTTCTAGAAAAAATCTAAATAAGTTGTATAATTATTTGTAATTTACTCAGTGAGAAAATAACTGTTTTATGCTAAAAGTACATCTATTATAGACAAATAAACTAAATTTATCTCAACTAACTTCCCTTTTAAATAAAATAATTTCCACAAACTTGAAATAGTTGTCTTTTTTTTCCTAGTGGGAATGAAAACTTCAAGATGAGAAGGTAGAATAAAAATTGATAACTTATACTAAGTTTAAACTGCTTCCTAACCACTAAGAGTAAAAACTCTTTCCTTTGTTACAGGTTGATTGGATGAATTCTGACTTTGATTTTAAGGGCAGTCCCTTTTCAGGTGTCATGACTTTCCACACTTAAAACATACGCCTTTTCCTGCTAGACATTCTCCATTATGATTTTTCTTGCACTTAAGACATATCTGAATTTAAGAATTTATCTGTTTCCCATTTTCTCTTCCTTCATTATTAGCAAAGTTGGTTTCCATGTCCTGTGCTTGTGGAAACCTTTCTTCGTTGTTGTCATCATTCATTCTCCGATTTGAAGCCTTGATTTTCTCCCTTGCCTCCTCAGCTTCCTTCATGCTTGCTTCAATGTCCATGCACCTATTTATTAATGATGAAAAATTTCTTATTTGATGTCCTATTATCATACTTTTTAATTCAGGTTTTAATCCAGATTCAAACTTAGTTGTCAACCATTCCTCATTAGGTTGATTATGTACATAATTAGAGTATCTGGATAGTTCCTCAAATTTTGCCACATATTCTCCAACAGTCATATTTTCTTATTTTAATCCAAAAAATTATATTTCTTTTCTGTTTCTTATACTCTGAGGAAAATATTTTTCCAAAAAAGAATCTTTAAAAATTGTCCAAGTAATCTTCGTTCCTTGGCTTCGGAAATACCTTTTGGTATTTGTCCACCAATGTTCTGCTTCTTCAATCAATATATGTGTGGCAAAATTTATTTGATGAATAATAGGACAGTCCAATACCAGGAATATTTTCTCAAATTCTTTCACCCATTCCACAGCTGCCTCAGGGTTATAATTTTCACGAAAAGTGAAAGATTTATGTTTACGAAATTCAGTTAATCCTTTGTAATCAGGATTAGGTCCTCCTTCAGCATTCACAGATCTAGGTCCACTTTCACTTTCAGAGTTATAAGTATGGTTTCTGGTTGCACGATCCTTCCTAAACTCCTGAATAATTTGCTAATTTGTTACAGCCTGTTCTCTAAGATCTTCTGCCACCCTTGTTAAACACATCAGTTACTGGGTTAATTGCTGGTTTAGAGGTTGAAGATGTTTGTCTTGTATCTGCCATAGATCTATATATATTGTTTCATGGTAGTGAGTTGGCCAGGCTCAACACTGATAATTCAAAATATGTATGACACATGACAAAATATCAATCAACATCTAATTTAAGTCTTTTGTTTACCTGAATTTTTGTGCTCTGATAGCTTAAAATATAACATCGTCTACAACTGACTAGGATAGAGGATATCACATTATTTCTTAAATCTTATTTTAAATAAGATAACGAGAATTATAATGAAATTCTAATGCAACGGATATGAAATAAGGCATATGACAAAATATTCAAAAAACCTAATTATACAGAAGTCAAGTTCACTATCACATCAGAAATACATCATAATCTAAACTAAAAAGAAATATATATTTTTCTATAATTGCTCCACTAAGCTCCGTATAGTCTTCAAAGTCTTTAACCATAGTGTTTTACCCTACTCCAAAGCTACACATACTGACCTGTTTACTCTGAAAAGATTAGCATAAAAACAAACATACGTAAGATATATCTCAGTAATATTGGGATTTTCGAACTATAACCAATCCAGCCACTTTAATGAAAAATATCATTCTCACAGAATAAAATTTATAATAAGAAAATAATATCATAAACAATAAATATAAGCCAAGATCTTTTTGGATTCTTCATTCAACCATACCCAAACTTTTGTGGGTTCTACCAAACTTTGTGGGTTCTAGATACATATATAGGAACGTGTAATCTTTAACTGAAATGATTAATGCTCAATTCTGGAGCGCCCAAATTCTGTGGGTTCTGTATGTGAAAGGTTCTGTATGGCGGAGCTCAAGCCATGATAAGGCGTCTCTTACCCTATAACCATTTTGATCCCCTTGTGTGTTAGTCACATCAGAATCATTCAGTAAAAGATTACATATTTCATTAGTATTCATTTGGTACCAAAGAAATTCTTTAATTTCTATAAACTTGATTCAAGATCATTCTCATATCTAATATAAGCAAATTTATCAAATTCACAAAGCCAAATATAGAAAATAAATTAAAAGAGTAGAAAGAATTCATAAAATAATTTTGGCAGAGTAACGACCTCTTCACAACATCTAAAGAAATAATTTTAAAATACCAACTTTCAACCTGACATAGATAAAAACAGAACTAACATAACTTTCTAAAATATCTAAAAATAAAGGAGTGAATGAGTTGTTTACTCCTAATATTACCTTCCATTTTCTTTTCTCTTTTTTTTTTCTTTCCTTTTCTCTCTCCCTCTCTCTCTCTCCTTCTTAAGTTTCAAAAGGGGGGATTTATATAGATTTTCAAAAAAGAATGTAATCATTATTTTTTATAAAAATCTAAGGAATCTAATTATTATCTTTATAAATATTTAAAGAATCTTAATCATTACGTTTATAAAAATCTAAGGAATCTAATAATTACTTTTATAAATATCTAAGATATTTTGCTAAATATCTAAGATATTTTATATTTTATTTATTATTATTTTGAAATATTACAATCTATATTTATTTTACAACAAAAATAATATTAAATTAAAAAATATCTTCAATGATATCAATTGTTGAATGGGACGATTATCATTAAATAATGCATACACGATATTATTTTAAAATAAATATTTATATACTTTATGTAATAATTTAATTCAAAATCAAAACTTTAACGCCTAAAATATTGTTAGATATACAAATCATACGAGAACGATATGAAAGCATATTAATATTTAAATTGTACGGATGTTTTTTTTTTGTATAGAATGTACGGATGATTTTTTAATTACACAAGAAGTAAACTTTAAGAAAATTATATTAATATTTAAATTATACAAATAAACTTTCCATAACAAGAGAGTAAAAACTTTATATAAAAACATTATTCTTTTTTATAGTTATCTGAAGTGGACCCTTAAACAAGTGATGGAAAATTTTCAACCTTTTGGTATATATTTCCGGAACACTTGTCTCTTTGAATTTAGCATCTTAAGGAACATCAAAGCTCAACAGAATTGAAAAAATGGAGAAGACCCAGATCCAAGTCCCAAGAGTTAAACTGGGTAGTCAAGGCTTAGAGGTGAACCTATTATTATTTTTCAATCAACCCAAGTGATCCACAATACTATTTCTGTATGGCTGTTTTTCATTCTTCTGGTTTATGTGATTGATGTTGTTGTTAACTATTAAGTGGTTAGTGACCAGTTCATCATCGAAATTTGTTGTTTACATTACAATGGGCTGAATTAATTCAGCATTAACTGGAAGAACATCAAACAAATTTTTAATTACCTTCAATTGTCATGTTATGCTTGTTTTTATCAATATCTGTAGTTCAGCACTTGGTTGAAGGAAGGATGTCTTCTTTCATGATCATCAACTCAAGGAATTATTTTGCACAAAAAAATGACATGATTCTAATGCTTACAGTATTCTAATGCTCCTTTTCGTCACCTTTTCTCTCTCCATATCATTTCTCCCTTAGCTGACCTAATCTTTGATTTAATAATTGTGATGTGATAAGAATCTCCTGTATGTATTCATTTGTAAAATGCAGGTTTCTAGGTTGGGCTTTGGATGTGGAGGATTATCTGGAATTTATAATGCCCCCCTCTCGCATGAAGATGGATGTTCAATTATTAAGGAAGTATTCAATAAGGGTGTTACCTTGTTTGATACATCAGACCTTTATGGAGATAATCATGATAATGAAATCATGATTGGTAAGGTAACATATTATCCAACGAATTGATCTTTAAAAGTTTTAATTCTAAGTTCTGAATATATGTTTTCATTTGAATGAGTTAGAAATTGTAATCATTTAGTTAATCATGTTGTTGATATATATAGTCCCACATTGGTTGTATGTGCAACTAATGTGGAGTTTATAAGGCCTTGAGCACTCTCATCCCTTGAGCTAGCTTTTGGGGTGGTGTATCCCAAGATTCTTTACATGGTATCAGAGCCTCGCCGCCCCCCCACTTTCTCTTGTGGCGTTTCTTAGCACAAGTAGGTTGGGCTCTTGTGTGAGGGGGCGTGTTGAGATATATAGTCCCACATTGGTTGTATGTACAACTAATGTGACATTTATAAGGCCTTGGACACTCCCACCATTTGTGTTAACAACTGATTCACAAACAGATCACGGTTTAGATGTGGCAAATGGCATATACTTATGTGATATGTCCCACGAATTTCATTGTAACATAAGTTTGCTTAGGCAATCATCTGGTGGGGAAAATCAAACTTGTGGAAAATTTTAAATCTAATTGATTAAAGATGAAATTTCTTCTATCATCAGGCTTTAAAAGAACTTCCTCGAGAAAAAGTTCAGTTGGCTACAAAATTTGGTATTCTTAGATCTGATGGGATGATGTTTGAGGTAAAAGGTACCCCTAAATATGTGCGGGAGTGCTGTGAAGCTAGTCTTAAGCGGCTTGATGTCAAGTATATTGATTTTTACTATCAACATCGAGTTGACACTTCAGTGCCAATTGAAGACACTGTAAGCTTTCAATGGTTTTCCTCTCTTATAGTTACGCATGCCATTCCAACACTTCTAAACTCTAGATGATTAAATGCTTTTATATTGACCTCTGTAACGAAGATGGGGGAGCTCAAAAAGCTGGTAAATGAAGGAAAGATAAAATATATTGGGTTGTCAGAGGCTAATGCTGACACTATCAAGAGAGCACACGCAGTTCATCCTATTACTGCTTTGCAAATGGAGTATTCCTTATGGACCCGTGACATTGAAGAAGAAATAATTCCACTTTGCAGGTATTTGAATAGAAATATTATCTCTGCCTTTTATATTGTCACTAATAGTAATCACAATTATACTCTCTTCGGTTTCTAGTTTGATATGCTTTCTAACTCTTTCAGATATGCTTTTAACTTTAATTATCTGCAAAATATCTGAAATAAATTGTTATTGTCCAACTAAGAAGCATGTTCTACTTGCAGAGAACTTGGGATTGGAATAGTTGCATATAGCCCTCTTGGTCATGGCTTTTTTGCAGGAAAGGCAGTGGTAGAGACTTTGCCTAGTCAGAGCTTGCTGGTATGCAGCTAGTGACAAGTAATACAGTTTCAAGCTTGCATGAATTTGTAGCTTTTTCCCTATTATGATGGTCAAAATAACATTGATAAGGGTAGGTTCGAACTACCTGTAGGATCACATCTCTGCTGAAGGAAAACACCTTAAATATCAATAGGTTAGTTCTGTTCCTGCAGCGATTGTCTATTGAGATTTCTTCTTGTTTCTGTAACAGGCTATGCATCCCAGGTTCACTGGAGAAAACTTGGAAAAGAACAAGCTTTTCTATAAACGACTTGATGACTTGGCTTCTAAGCATGCATGCACTCCTTCTCAATTAGCCTTAGCATGGCTTTTCCATCAGGGAAATGACATAATCCCTATCCCTGGTAGTGTCTTTATTATATGTTGGAAGAATTATGTGTTCAACATATGTGATGAGTTGTTTCCTATCTGATTAATGTTAATTCTTGAGTTTCCTTTATCAAATGCTTATCAAATTCTCTGCCAATTTATTTTTCTGGATTTCACTTCTCTTAAAAATTACCACTCAGCGAAGAAGGAAAAAACATGATATCAAAAACCTTTTTTCTTACAACATCTTTCATAATTTGATTATTTATCTTTATCTGATGTTGAAAAATATAGTCCCACATTGGTTGTATGGGCAACTAATGTGAGATTTATAAGGTCTTGGGCACTCCCACCCTTTGAGCTAGCTTTTGGGTGGTGACCTTAAGATTCTTAACATGGTATCAAAGCTTGAGTGACCATAAGTTCACGAGTTCAATCCTCACGGCCCCCCACTTTAAGGTGGAATTAAAATAAAAAGCACAAAAAGGTAAACAAAAAATTGGGCCTGTGCAATTCCACGCTTCTAGCCCAAAGGGCTCTTGCGTGAGGACGTGTTGAGATATATAGTCTCACGTTGATTATGTGGGCAATTAATGTGGCCTTTATAAGGCCTTGGGCACTCTCACCCTTTGAGCTAGCTTTTGGGGTGGTGTATCCCAAGGTTCTTTACCTCCGGCATAATGTGTAGTTGTGCATTGAAGTACCTAAAATACTGTCCATAAAAATTGCAGTTACCGTAAGCATGAGAAAAAAAAATGATTCTAATGGCTAAGTGTTTTATCACATATTTCTTTGATACCATAGGGACTACTAAATTGAGGAACTTTGAAAACAACCTTGGATCTCTGATTGTGAAGCTTACGGATGAAGATTTGAGGGAAATATCTGAAGCAGTTCCTGTTTATGAAGTTGCTGGGGAACGAGAATATGATAGTTTATCAAAATATGCTTGGAAGTTTGCAACTACACCATCAAAGTGATTGCGCAGAGAAGAATGGTGCAAGTCTATAATGAATTATAGTTGTGTTTATATTTGATCATTATGCTTAATTAGTAACCTCTGGGATTCTCCTCAAGATATTGCTGTAAAAAGTGGAAGGAAAAAAAAAAACATATTTTCCCTTAAAAGTTACTTGTGCTGGTTTATTTATGTATTATTTTAGGCTTATGTGGGATCTATTTTCATAATTCCATATTCTAGTGAAGGATTGCTTTGCCCCTTCAAGGATTTGCCATATGTTGATGTTGGCAAATGGCAAAGCAGTTATGTTGTTGAAGATGATACTACCACCTTGACGTGTGTACATGCCATTGTTAATTATATTTACAAGTTATCTGACACTGTCATTTGATATTATTTGCATTTTTCAACTTTGGCCGTTGAAAAATAGCAATGAGCTGAATTTTGGGCAATAGCTCCATTGGTCAGATGTCATTCTTTAAAGCTTAGAGAGTATCTAAAAAGGAAATTAGAATGTGACTTCATTAGTCCCTTCTCCAGAATACCATAATCCAACTTCAATTTTGGGCTCTCAATTCATTAAGAGTGTTAAAATTACACGATTTCAAAATATACTTGGTAGGAAAAATTCCAATGTGGTTTAATACTTTGAATTACTATGCACAAAAATAAATATCTATATTACACTTTATTGTCCCTATTCTCTCTTTGTTATTTTTTTATGAGCCAACGTTTGGTTATGGAAGATATTTGTTTATTTTTTTTAAAATTCTCTCATAAAGCTGTAAAAAAATAATTATTTTTTACCTAAGTTAATTTAAATGCGTACTTGATCTCAATTGAACAAGGCTAATTACAAATTCATAATTATGTGGAAGAAAAAGTTACAAATTCATAATTATGTGGAAGAAAAAGTTCATAATTTTCTTTTTCTTTTCTTTTGAAAATTTGTTTATTTTAATATTATTTATGTAATTATTTCGTAACCTTCTTTTTACATAATGAAAATCACGCAGTTCGACTCTTATAAAATTTACTATGTAAAGGGTTCACAATTATCAGTTATTATGTAAGAGATCATGATAATAATAACTATTTATGAAGCAAATAATATACACAGTGAACCAGGATTAAAACCCACGAACAAGGGAAAGCCAAGGATTGATTTAGTAAAATTTGGGTAGTTGGCATAAATTCGAACATTAGTATCACTATTAAATCCCATAAACAAATTTCGTATGATAATACATAATTAAATAATAATATCCACGACGAACCTTGATTGAATCCTATCAACTAGAGGTGTTAACGGGCTTAGCCGAGCCGAGCTTTAATCTTAACGGACTAAGCCTGTATTTAAACGTGTCCAACTGGCCTTAGCCTGTTACCTGTTACGAATATAATATTGACCTGTGGCCTGATTTATTTATAAAAAATAAAAACCTGTGGGAAGTCTGTCTTAGCCTGTTAGCATGTTAAAGAATAAAAATAAGAGAACAGAATTCCACAAAAAATCAATTTCCAGATAGAAACCTTAGCTTCCAATTTGCAGCAATAATTTACAAAGTCTACAATAAATAAATAAAATTAAAATGAGAAAAAGTAGATAACAAGTTATATTATCTTAGCCCATTATAAAAAAAGTGTCAATAAAAATAAAAATAAAATAAATAAAATAAAAAATAAATTGACACAAACGAGCAGTGCAGAGTGGAACGAATGAGTTTTTGTGGGTTTGTTTGTGTGAAGGAGGATGAAGGATAATATAGAACATCACTAGTAATTCCATAAATATACATAAATTCAATATATATCCAAATAGCATAATATAGAACAAAATCATTCAAAAAGTCTGTTAAACCAATAAAATAGGGTGAAATAAATTGATGAGAGAGAGTTATTACAAGTAGTATAAAAAATATAAATAAATATTTATACACTAGGCTAGCCTGGGAGGCTTTAAGGCCGAGCTTGAGGCTTTTTTATTAAACGAGCTTTTATACAAAAGTCCAAGCCTGGTTCCAACACGAACTTTTATTAAACGAGCTCAAACCTTTACGAGCCGAGCCAAAGACACCTGGCTCCTTTACCACCCCTAACATCAACAAGTTATCTACTTATCTCATACTTCATCTACAAATTTGAAGTCTTAGTTCAATCAATTCTTAGAAGTAAGGCATATAATCTTTTGATTTCAAGAAGCGTTCAATGAATTGAACTTGAGTTCCCAGCTAATGTGGTTTGGATAGAAAGCATTTTGGTTAGAGCAATAAAAGGGTATTAAAGACACAGTTTTTGTTTCCTGTTTAATTAAGGATGCTGTGTAGTCAGTGTAGCCACGCCACCAATTATCCAGAAGCCTGTAGAATATTCCAGAATTGTCCTTACCAACCTAAGAAGCGGTAACAATAACTGAAGTCCTGCAAATTCCAAGTCTGTAACAATTGTAGCCTCAGATTTACCGAGTGGAACCTTTTGGTTATGATGGGAGCCACGTCTCCTGCTTTTACAATGTGTGGACAAGTGAACCCACGTGAACCAATTACCTTTAGGACCTATATACACATGACGTGTAACCAAAATATCCACCACAATGCTTGCCCTATTATTCTATTTAAACTACCTTCTTCAATGCTTTACCTACCATCTAAGGTGTAGTAACGCTCCCTTCTAACTAGTCATTGTATTTAGCTTTGTATCGCAGTTACACTTTTAATACCAAATTTTCCATGGCTACCTCATCTTATGCTATGCAATCTATCTTGGGAAGCCCTATGACCCGCTTCTCCAGCAGGTCCAGGGTGAACCAATTTAGCATTCCTGCCACATACATGCCTAACCTGAGAAGGAATGCTAGCCTGAGAGTTCGGTCCATGGCTGAGGTAATGGTTCACATATCTAATTTCATATCTTGAAGTATATATAGTTTGTTTTATGCTTGAATATCAAATGGGTTGTTTTGTTTCCTTAGGAGTTGAGGAACAATCATATGTAAACCTTATGAATCATTTGATTTTTATTTTTATTTTTACATGCAGGAAGAGCAGAAAGAGCAACCTAGTGAACCTGCAACCCCAGTTACACCACCACCAGCGGCAGCACAATCTCAGCCACGGCCAGCCTCTACTCGTGCACCTAAGGTAGGCCAACATAGTGACCTAGTTGTTTGAACAGTACTTTTGATTTGTTTAGTTATGCCATTCACCAATATCCATTCATGGGGTGATTGTGGTATTCTAGGACTATATTTCTTCTGGTGTAAAGTTGGACATAACCATAAGAAACACTTATATAACTGTATCAGAAGATTAGTTATGCTTATTCAAAACTTTAATATTGATTAATAATATGAGATCCCCCACCATTGACATGAATAATGGCATTATGGCAGGTGAGCACCAAGTTTTCGGATGTGTTGGCATTCAGTGGACCTGCACCTGAGAGGATTAATGGAAGGCTTGCCATGATAGGGTTTGTAGCTGCAATAGCAGTGGAGATAGCCAATGGGCAGGGTGTACTTGAACAGGTATCCAATGGTGGCATCCCATGGTTCCTGGGGACAAGTGTGGTCCTGACCCTTGCATCCTTGATTCCCCTATTCCAAGGGATTAGCGTGGAGTCTAAATCCAAAGGGTTCATGTCCTCGGATGCTGAGCTTTGGAATGGGAGATTTGCTATGTTGGGTTTGATTGCTCTGGCTTTTACTGAGTATGTTAAGGGAAGTACCCTGGTGTAATATAGTTTTAAGGCGCAGGGAAATGATCTTGAGGATTGCTACCAAGAAGTTGATGTATTAAAAACTTAGTTCTTTTTCTAATCTACATTATATTATTTTATAGTGCAATTGCACTGATCATATGCTAATTTCTTGATATTGACTTGTTGCTTGAGAACTTGAAATAACAAGAGCATAACTACGTGTAGTTAACTACACAGATCAAACGAAGCCTTCGTAATCCGTCAATAATCAGAGTCCTTTCAGAGTATTGATATTTGTAAAAACACTCTTTTGCTTGATGTAAAGGAAACTTGTGTCGCTGCACATCAAGCAATTGATTTCCATTAGTTCTTGTTCAAATTTATCCTGTCCTGGAAAATAAAAATGGTTTGAAATGGACAAAATTAAGAACAGCAAGCTCTGTACATTATGTGAAGTACTATTTACATACATTTAATTTAAAACAATAAAACATTGTCATCCGCCCCAGATCTTTGAAGATTCACATGATACTTGAGAATTTAAGAAGATCAACATTGGAACCTGATGCATTTCAGGACAAATAAAATGCCACATTAACTATGAAAGTTAATTGAATCAATCAGATAATTATTAAACATATCGATCGTTTAGTGCAATTATAACTAATGATATCAAAAATTGTGTTTAAGGAAACTATAGTGGACCTCTTCCCTCAAAGAAAATGAGAGAAAACTAAAGGAACTAAAAATATGAAGCACCTAAGAAATTTACAGCTGTGATCGTGATAGCCTGCTCACCAAAATGGATAAACTAAAGCCGACAATGTTAAAATAAAGTAATAAAACATAATAAATTATCAATTATATCATCAGTATATTATTATCTCAATACTCCGTTATTGTTCAATATAAACAATCTTGATTAATGATAATGAGTTACCTTGATTATAACACTACAAAAAGTGTAGTTTACAAAGTTCAGTCACGTAAATGTAAAAGCAAAAAATAGTCAGAAGACCCCAAAAAAAAGAAGGTTGTATGAACAACAAAATTCTTAGACGAACAACAGTTAATTACTGAGCACATCTACAAAAGCTATGATATGACATGGATATTGGCGTCACCGCTTATTCATTACATAGATATCTCACTTTCATCTACGGGAATGAACCTCTACACCCAAATTTATGAACAGAAAGAATGAAAACTATACATATCTTAGCAGCTTTTTCTTTCCTTTTCTTTTTTTCAGAAATCTTATAAGCTATTTCATATGTACAAATATTCCCAATAGAACTGAAGTCTTCGGCAGCCACGTGTGTTGCTTCCCCCAGCTATGGATCAAGCTGATACTCGGGCTTGTCAAAATCACCATTTTGGAGTGTGTTTCCCACCGCCCCATTTTCAAGTTTCTGCAATCCATTACAAGTCAATGACAAGGAAATCAATACCTCGCATCCAATACAAATGAAATTAAAATCACATCATGCACTGCACGAAATTGATCTTGACCTAACACTACACTGGACAAAGCTACAAGTTGGAAGGTGGGAACCAGATTTTCCGTCCTTTAATTTCTTGTTTCATACGTCAAGTATAATGGGGTGGTTCAATTTCGCCAAATAGACAAGACTTGGATATCTCAGAAAATAAATGTCCCTTCAATTATGCATTACATAAATGAGGTTGAGAATGGTAATGATGGTAGGCATTTATCCATCATGAAAACAGAAATATAATAAAGAAAAAAATAGAAATGTTATCACCCAAGAAATAAAAAATAGATTTGTACTATTTAATTAGAAGTTGCATGTAAACGCACACAAACACACCCGAGAGAGAGAGATGCATACTTTTGTATGTAGATCAACTGGAAACAAATTTATGGCTCCTGCGTTGAATGTGAATCCACTGAAAGTGACACAATATTGCATTAGTGACATGCACAGAATGAAAAAAAAAAAAACCATATAATTAACAAAAATTCAAATTAATAATAAGATAGATAATAAAGTTAATCCCCAAGGGCCAAGACCTAGAGTATCTCAAGTCTCAATACTCATAATGATTACCCAAGGCTAGTACTTAATTAGCAAGCACATGCAGTTTACAAGCAGAATGAAATGAAATAAAACCAACAAATTTCACAAAAAGAGTAAATGATTACAAGTAGCCTTGAAACTATGTGAATAAGAAGCTCAAGGAACCATACCAACGGGATAGTAGTAGCTGCCAGACATATGGGATAAAAAACTCCTCTGGATGACTCTCTTGTTCATATGTGAAGCGCAGTTGAGTAAACATCTGCCAAACAAGATACAGCTTTATAGAAACAAAACAAGTAATCCTCCTAATGATATTCCCTACTAGAAGCAAACCACAAATCAAGAACTCTATTTCCGTCTTACCTTCATTCCATCACCCCTCCAAGAACGACAATTGACAATTATCACTTGGAGCACTTCATTGACTGACCAGTCACCATCCACTCTTTGAGCATCCATACGACTATTGAAAAAATCTAATACCTGCAAATATTTAATCGAAACATTTGTCAAACACCCAAGAAACACGATGTACTATACAAAAACAAGATTCATTAATGTGACCACAAAACTTGCTCCTGTAAAAGTTGCAAGATGTCATAGGGTAAGCATATGTTGTAACTTTTACTTTAATATACTAAACATACAGTATAAATGTTTTCAAGCAGTTCATTGAAGCGTGGATGATTCTTGAATGGCTGAAAGACTTCCTGCCTGTGCATTACTGCATATACTACCTGCCCCGGTCACATAAAGAAAGCAATACAGTAGATGCAAAAGGTCATAATGTAAATTTTGACTATTGCGAACTAGATAAAAATAATTGAGATAAATCTTCAATCAATCAAGCAGAAGATCAAATCATTACCTCGGGATTCCGAGGCAGTGCATAAGTCAGGATTGCATTTATTATCTCTAGTACAAGCCTCAAGAAGTCAGTATAAATGTGCAACTCAGTTGACTGCACCAAAAGAATATTTAATTTAGAAAAAGGAGTACTCTAAAGTGTGTAATCAATAGAACCACAATAGCTCCAAGATCATATATACCATATCTTCTACAAGACTGTTTCCTTCAATTGAGTTGCCTTTTGCAATATGGAGCTTATTATCTCTGCGATCTGCTAATTTGTTATACCTAATGAGAAGCAATGATATGGTCAACTCTTTATCGAGAGATTACAAACAACTCAAGATATAATTTTGAAATGGACATAGTACATTATGAAGGCAGAGAGAGGAGTGACATACTTGCGTGAAAGCATATCAAAAAGACTGACTAGTCTCTGAGATGCATATGCACTCAAACGATGGACATGAGGTGCCATGTTTGCCAAAGTTGCCAGACATGTTGTGTGGAGATAGACATCCTATCATAATTCAATACATAACACAATGATTAAAGGAAGAGATATATATGAATAAAATAAAAGCAGTTTTAGTAGTTCAATGCACACCAACTACTTATGGAGACAAGATCCGAAACATTTCTAAGATTGTAAAAGTAATCAGTGTCTTCAATAGACATAGGATAACAAATCTTAATGCCTTCCAAGATCTAACTCCCAGGCTTGAGTAAGGGTAAACTTCCTGTCTGTCCTTTAAAACATACTCCTTTTCTGTATGAATACTACTTTTAATACATAATACCCTAATATCCTATTTTATCACACCAACTACAGATAACAGTAGATCAAGTAGATGAACAAATGCATACTTAAAGCTTACGTACTTAAGTAATAATTACATTATCAAGATAAAGAATCCTTGAAATTTAGGATTTGTAGAATTGAAATTACATGTGTACAGGAAAATATCAATGCAAACACTTTGAAATACACATTAGAATTTCAAGGCAGGATCGTATTTTCATAGGTCTGGGGGTATAACAGTAACCATATTAGTTGCAGTTTAGCATCAGAAGCAAATCCAATATAGGGCATTCCAGATAAGTACCTTTAATTGAACTATAACGGGACAAAGTATTTCAGATAAAAGAGAAACATCACAATCAATAGCATCAATCGGTTTATATATTCCATTAATAAAGTCATAAGTCATAACTCATAAGATATGGGAACAGTAGGACATCTCTCAGTAATGACCACATTAATTGGCCAATATGTTGGTTTTTTATACAATATATGTAATATCTAAATTAAATAATCAGTCAGCAGAAAAGGTCATTTTAGATACATGAGATTAAATTAATAGTCCAACTTGGTTTAAAATTCATACCCGTAGTTTAGACAAATTGTACTGTACAGTTCTGATAAGAATTATGACCATGAGGGAACCAAGAGAAGTCTGATGGAGAAGACGTTCTTTGTACCATGGAACACCAGTCAATATCTGTCCATTCATATAAGACATTAGCATTTAGCACAATCCTTGCAGTTTTAGGACAAAATATAATGCCAAGAGACAACTCTTACCAGCTTATGAATGCTTGCATTAAAAGAAGAATCTTGACTAAGTATGAGAAGTATAATCAGCAACATGTAAATTTGATTGGCTGTCCTCCTCGGAGCATTGTACAGAGCTTCCAAAATCGGCATTAACTGTTAATTTCAAAAGATAAGAAGGAATCAGAATAAGGCTCAGTCTTCAGTCATTCTAGATGTACCAGTAGGGCCCATATGATTTAGAATGACTTAAAATAGGCAGTTACATATATCACATGATATTCAAGTATATACATGTTTCACAAAGCAATAAGCCTAAATAGAACTTCATCTGAAAATTCTTCTTTTAACATTTACATATATAAATACTTAATTTATTCCCACTTTCTTCATAGGATAAACTTAGGTTTCCTGCCTCATACCAATGTATCCAGATCAGTCCGCACCAAAACATACTCCAGAAAGGCACAATTCCCTTGCAACAATGAGTACAGCAGTAGGACAGCTGCCTCATCAGCTAAGCATCTGTAGAAGAATAAAAGTAGCAAGATTTGAAAAACAAACAATGTACAAAATCCAAAATAATGAATTGCAACTAGAATGAGTGTATGACATTGACACTACATGCATACATATAATTCTGTACATATAAAAAATTGTCCAAAGTGGCAAGAAATCCAAGAATTCTTGCTGTATCTAGAAGCAGGGAAAATGAAGGACACTTATTACAAAACAGATAGTCATGGACCACAAAGTACTAGAGCCTCAAACCAAGAAACTGAGGTAACAGGGACACAAAGCTGCAAATAAGAACTGCATAAGCCACAAAAGCAAGAGGAAATATGTACTGAATGACTGAGCACCAAACATGAAAGGGGCAAAAAAATGGAAGAAAGTCTGATTTATTACTTCTTGTACTTTTTTCCTCCTTTTCTTTGATTTAAGTATCAATAGGTGAACAGAGAAGTATAGGAAACAAGATTTCTAAATGTCATAATAAGACTGATCTACAACTGCATATTCTGATCATCACATATTTGAGAAACAGAAGTTTTCAACTTGTCATCATGATAACATATACTCTCAAAACATGTGAATTGTATTCTGCAGAGATTGACTCAATTAAAACCATAGGTAATCATGATACGGATGTAGTATGTTGATTGTCAAATACATATACAGGCAGCAAGATACTCACATGCCAAAGGTATCAAACAATGAAGCAAAAGGTAACTTTATGTGTCGACCATTGTATGCATTGCCCTCAACATCCACACGATCCACTGCACTAAAAGCTCTGATCAAATATTGCTAGCCTACTTAATCAATTAAAATAATATACACATATGAAAAGTATATTACATTCACAATCAATTGCATGCTCTAAGGCCTTGCAGTAAGGGTTGTCAGAAAAATAAGGATTTTCTTTGAGTAAAGAATCTGATGCAGAAGATTTGTTATTCTCAATGGCAGGGTAGTCCTCGATCACAGCACATTTATGATAATGAATGAGCACAAGAAGCACCGGAAGACTCCTATCCGCTATAGGACTTCTTGATCTTTCACCACTTGAACTGGCCAAATAACTGAATGGCAATAAAACAATATTTGCTGCAAGGCAAAAAAAAAAAAAAAAACACCAATCAGTACGTTTCCAACCTTTACACAAGAATCTTGCAGCAATAAGACAATTATGATAATATTATTAAAAGAGCATATTTAACTTCAAAAAATCCATAAATATTAAATAGAAAAGTGAATCCAGTCACCGTACCAGCTGCAGAACCAACTCTCTGCAGCACACTACTCTGACTTCCGTCATAAAAGATAGAATAAGTTGTTCTATTAAATGGAACACTAGGATGGGCTATGAAATTTAGAAGCAATCTGCGAACAACTGAATTAACCAGAAAGCTGTCCTGCAAAAACAACGATGCACCAACCTGATATTTACTATCTGCAAATACAGAATAACTCAACAACCAAGATTTGATGTTCAAATCTCAACTTCTAACCTGAGCCATTGCTGCATCAAGAAATGGGTTCACATCATTTGGTCCAGGAGATGGCCCACAGAGAAGCTGAGTTGACATTGCAATAATCATGAAATTAAGCAGCTCTAGATGTAGGAGAAATGTGTTGGGACTATAATAATAATAATTAAAAAAATTGTCAGGACAAAAAGTTCACACAATAACTCAACAAGATTTAGCAGTTCCAGTTACTCATGAGTCGTGGTATACCTCACTTCTACTGATGCTATAAAGTTCAGCACATTCCGCATAACGAGATTTTCAATGGTTTGATCTGTGTAAAAATTTAAAAAAATTAAGAAATCTGAACAACACTAATGCATACATAAAAACCTACAAAAAAAAGACTTGAAAGGGAAAAGTGACAAAATTCATATGAAACCCATGAAAAGTAAGGAAGTCCTTCAAACAAATGTCAAAAACCATGTATATATCACATCAAACACATGAGTTGACACCTAAACTAATATTTCTTAAGCAAGTAGGTGTCAAAATTCAGCTTCAGCCTTTACACATGAATCTTATGCTAACACACCACCCAAGATCATATATGCAACACGCAGAACACGGTTCAATGAAATTGATATGTTTGCAGATCTTAATTCTAAATCTGAAACAATGAGAGTTATACATACCTCCTAAAACATCCTTCGGTGCAGCTGCAGCATCATTATCATCAAGAGACAGGTATAACTGGATAGTATCGCCTTGGACATTTTCAATCAAATGCTTTAAAAATACTGAACTGATGTACGCTGCATTAACAGCCTTTTCATAAACCAAGGGTGGCACACCAGAAGTAGACATCGACTCTTGCACGTAGCATGCTAGATGGAACAAGATCTTTGCAAGATGCCTGGTGTGGCTATTGTTTTTGGCTGCAAGACAATTAGGGAAAACAAAGCAAAGCAAAAAAATTCAAATAAGATTTTGCCATGAGAAACAAATCTACTCTCCTTGATACCACAATATAATAACCTATACATTCAAGGAGAGTAAACTAAAAATCATTCGAATTAGTTTTATTAGAAAACCAAATTTTTTAGAGAACATTTAGCATTCTGAACCCCTTGATAGTTGATATTATCTTCCTTTAGAGAAAGGAAAATCACACTCCTACATTCTACCCCATAAATTAAATTAGTTCCATCAGAAACCCAATCTTTTAGAGAGAATATAAATATCATACTGAACTCCTTGACATATTCATAATATTGAGATAGGAAAATCATACTCCAACATTCTAGACCATAGATGTCATGAAACTAAGCTTTTAACCAATGCTATTCGCCGTGAATCTAGCAATTGAAGCCTCCCCTTCAAGCCATTATCGTTCTAAGCCTAAAAAAAATGGTGATCAGGGGAAAGTAATCAGAATAAGACTAACCCAATAGCTCGCAAGCTTGTTGAACACGGTGAGTGGGCCATTCAACATCGAGAGGAAGCTCCAGCAATTTCTGCCAAAACTCCGATGAAAGTGGGAAGGACTCGTCGCCAACGAAAGTCTCGATTAGATACTCCGCCGTCTCCGGCACGATTGCGCCACCCTTGCTCGGCGTTGACGGTACCGACCCCATTCGAAAAAAAGGGGTTTTTTTTTGGCGATTTGGTGTGTTGGGGTCGTTGATACTCGTCAAATCTTGTTAGCTATAAATTTGGTGTGAGATTCAGTGCAACGGCATTGTGCGAAAACTCGCCGAGAGATCAAAAGGGTTTGATCCGAAGACGAAAACGGAGATGGGTTTTGAAAATCTAGGGAGTTCGTGTATCGCGAGAAGAGAACAGAGTGAAGGAAGAGAAGAAGAACGACGACAAGAAGAAGAAAGAACTTCGAAATGAAGGTTTTAATAAATGCATTAATAATAAGGACTTGTTTGGATTAGCGGTTCTTTGTTTTGGATGTTAACTCGTCTAGCTTTTCCATTTTACAAAACTGCCCTTATAATAGTATAAGCTTTTAGACCTATATCTAGAAAAAGATTCGTTTATAATTTTTTTTATAAATTACACAAATTGAAGTGTATTAGATTGAGATTTTAATAGATTATTTTTGGAGGAAAAATTTCATTGGTATTCGATTAGGATTTTAAAGGACAGAAAAAAAGTCATGCAGTATTCAATTAGAATTTTAAAAGTTTATTTTATATTCCATCCAAATCTGTTGGTATTCAATCACGGTCTCAAACAAAGGAAAAACAATCTTGTGGTATTCAAAAATCTGTCAATTTTTAATGAATTTTCTATTAATGTAAATTTCGTGAGATTTCTTAGTGAGAAATATAAATAGGATATGTCTCTCACAATTTCACCCTAACTCCTAGGATTTCTTGAGATTTCTCTATTGCAGTGTTTCTTCTTAGTGGGTTGACCCGCTCAAAATTGGGTTCCGCCATGGGAGCTTCGTCAAAGCTCAAAGCAAATTTTTGAGCGATTTTTATCACAAAACAACCTAGAAAAAACAAACCAAAAAATTCTAATATAATCCATCACAAAAACAACAGATTTTTTTAGAGTTTTTGAAAGTTTAAAAAATAATTTTTCAAGCTATGGGTCGCGATTTTTCTTGTGAGTCCAAAACGATGTCGTTTGGGACAGAAATCAAGGTGTTTTTGTAATTATAATATATTGCAGGGTTATTTTAGTCTTTATCATTATAATTTTTTAATCTTATAACCCAAAACGACGTCATTTTGAGCTCAATAGATGAAGATAACTTTATCTCCGGTGACTGGATAAATACTTTTTCCTGGCACAAAAAGGTATGGTTTTTGTATTAAAAATAACATAAAACCCTCAAACCAATTTTTGTTTTACATCAATGAAACAATATCAATTTAAAGAAAGATTAAAATTTTCATAAAAATAAATCCTATATTTCGTAACAATACATTCATGAATGAAATTCCTTTGTTATAGGAAACGATTTCAAACAACTTTTGTATCAATAGATAACTAAAAACTTATTTTTCAAAAGTTCCAAAATAATTTAAGGTTTTAATGTATCTATTGAAAATAATTTGAGAATCTTTCTAAATTTCCATGTAATAAAACTCAGAAATTCATATGCGAAATTTTCTTAAAATACTAAATGAAAACATGCATATGATATATAGTTAGAAAACTCTTATAACTGTTCCCCCGCACTCCGGATTAGTCCCATAGCCGGCTCAAAGAGTCGAAGCTCGTGGGGATACCGGAGGGAGCCAACTCGTCTCAAAGAGATAATTAGGGTTGGGTAACTCCAAAAAAAGAAAACTCTTATCACATAGAAAAAAAATCCCAAGGTTTCTAAAATCAATTGACAAAAAATCAGGAACAGTGGCCAAAGTGTCACTGTTGGCAAAAAAAAATCAAAATGCCACGCCAACAGAAAATTTTGTCAAAATGCCACGTGGCATATTTCGCTACACTGTGTAGCGAAATACGTGTGCAAATAATTTGCTACACGGTGTAGCGAAATATGCCACGTCAGAAACAAAATGCCACGTGTCAGACAGGTGTAGCGAAATTCTCCCTGTCTGACACGTGGCATTTTGGTTCTGACGCGGCATATTTCGCTACACCGTGTAGCGAATTATTTGCACACATATTTCGCTACACGGTGTCGCAAAATATGCCACGTGACATTTTGGCAAAATTTACTGTTGGCGTGACATTTTGGTGTTTTTTTTGCCAACAATGGCACTTTGGCCACTGTTCCAAAAATTCAAGCAAAATTTTATAATGAACTTTAGGCTCTATAGGTAAATTTAGAATTATTTTAATAAATAAATAAAAATTGGGTCTTATAATCGTATATGCATAGCTCTTGTATCAAATGAAAAAGATAATTTTAAATCATTGGTCAAACCCAATAGCATGAACGATAAAATGTTAATGCATGGACGACTATTATAATTTTAGATATGTAGAGAGTTGTTGCTAAGCAATTTTGAATGTCTGTTAAAAATTATATTATGTTTTATTGATTGAGAAAATTATATTAGGTTTTAATTTTTTTATTAATATCATTGCATTTCTTTGGTATTTTTTTATTGACTCTTGTAATTTTGAATGTTTGTTAAAAATTCATATAATTTTTTAAAATATTATAAATTCTATTAAAATCCTTTAAAATCCAATCTTATGAAATATTGATTGTAAAAAATTTCTTTTAAAAAAGTCTTTAAAATTCGTCCAATTCTAAATAGTTTTTAAAATCTAGAGTAAACACCATTTTTGGTCCCTAACAAAAAACACGGTACCCACTTTAGTCCCTTACAAAAATAAATTAGTCAGTGAGTCCCTAACAAATTCAAAGTGGACCCATTTTAGTCCTTTTGAGGGAATAATATGGGTCTTTTTTGAATTTGTGAGGGACCACGATTTTAACTAAATGGGTCCACTTTGAATTTGTTAGGGACTAACTGACTAATTTATTTTTGTAAGGGACTAAAGTGGGGGACCGTGTTTTTTGTTAGGGACCAAAAAAGATATTTACTCTTAAATCTATAAGATTTTTTATCTCAAAAAAATCTTTCAAAATCTTAATCCAATACACCCCTAAGTAAGTCAAACATAATATAGTTTGTAAGAGTTTGTAAATATAATATTTCTCATATTTTATATAAAAGTGTGATAAAACTCTACACAAACCGCATTATATTAACTTATTAAGTAATAAAACTTGGGGAAAGATATTGTAACAATCAAGTTGTGTTACTACCATGTTACTATCAATCAATCTCACCGTTAGATCGATTATGTTGATCCAACGGTTATATTTATTTTCATCTTTGTATAGTTATGATTTTTCATATTTAAAATGAAAGCATTAAATATGAGAAATCATAATCATACAAGGGGTGTGCAAAAAAACTGGTTCACTTGCCCTGCCCTTGATCCGACCTTGACCCGACCCATAAATACCCATATTTTTTGAACTGGTTTAAATACTGACCCACTTTTATTTGAGTCAGTTTTAGACCTGACTCGTTTTAATATTGACCCACTGACCCAAAACTTGACCCATACCCATTATGTGAAAAAAAAAATCACAATTACATTAAAAGAAAAGTTTTAACGTAAAACAATTACGTCAAAATTTATTATGGAAAATATTTTCATAAAAATTTTGACGAAATATATTTTCCTCAAAATTTGTGACTAAAAACATATCGGTAAAAAAATTTGACGGAATATTTTTTTTTTCAAATTTTTTTACGGAATCTAAATTTCGTCAAAATATTTCACAAAAAAATATATTCATAAAAACTTTCGACGAAATACATTTTCATCAAAATTCTTTACACATTTCAAATTTCGGCGAAAGTTTTCGACGGAAACATTTTCGTTAAACTTTTTGACAAAAAAAAAATTCGTCGAAATTTTTAGCGAAACACTTTTCTATCAAAAATTTTCGACTAAATATTTTCGTCAAGTTTTTTGATAAAGAATATATCCATCAAAATTTTCAACGGAACACATTTCTGTAAAAAAAATTCGTAAAATTTTTTGACAAAAATATTTCGATAAGAAATTTTGACATAAAAAATATTTTGTCTAAATTCTTTAGAGAATCTAAATTTCGTCGAAAGTTTCAAATGAAACATTTTTCTCAAAACAATTTCCATTGAAAATTTCGACGAAACACATTTCCATAAAAAAAATTTCGACGGCAAAAAATTTCATTAAAATTCTTTATAGATTTGAAATTTCGGCGAAAGTTTTCGACGAAAATATTTTCGTCATCAAAAAATTTCGACGTCAAAAAATTTCATCAAAATTCTTTACAGATTTCAAATTTTGGCGAAATTTTTCGACGGAAACATTTTCATCATCAAAAAATTTTGACGGCAAAAAATATCGACGACAAAAAATTTCATCAAAATTCTTTACAGATTTCAAATTTCGGCGAAAGTTTAGAAAGTTTTCGACGGAAATATTTTCGTCATCAAAAAATTTCGACGGCAAAAAATTTCATCAAAATTCTTTACAGATTTCAAATTTTGGCGAAAATTTTCGACGGAAACATTTTCATCATCAAAAAATTTTGACGGCAAAAAATATCGACGACAAAAAATTTCATCAAAATTCTTTACAGATTTCAAATTTCGGCGAAAGTTTAGAAAGTTTTCGACGGAAATATTTTCGTCATCAAAAAATTTTGACGGCAAAATATTTCATCAAAATTCTTTACAGATTCCAAATTTTGGAGAAAGTTTTCGACGGAAACATTTTCGTCATCGAAAAATTTTGACGGCAAAAAAATTCATCAAAATTCTTTACAGATTTCAAATTTCGGCGAAAGTTTTCGACGAAAAAATTTTCGTTAAATTTTTTGATAAAAAATATTTTCGTCAAAATTTTTAGCGAAACACATTTCCATTGAAAATTTTCAACTAAATATTTTCGTCAAGTTTTTTGATAAAAAATTTCCATTAAAATTTTAAACGAAACACAGTTCTATAAAAAAAAATTCCGTAAATTTTTTTGACAAAAAAAACATTTTGACGAAAAAAATATTCTGTCAAAATTCTTTAGAGAATCTAAATTTCGTCGAAAGTTTCAAATGAAACATTTCTCTCGAAATAATTTCCGTTAAAATTTTCGTCAGAACACATTCCCATCGAAATTTTGAACGAAAAATATTCCGTCAAATTTTTTGACAAAATTCTTTTTTTGTTTAAAACATTTGATGGAAGAAATCATTTTCGTCAAAACTGTTGACAAAAACTAAATTTCAATAGAAAATTTTTTTTTGTAAAAATTTCGACGAAAAAATAATTTTGTGACGAAATTTTCGTCTTTTGCAACGACAA